CCCCGTGAGTCAAATAACACCCGCTCCATGCAGTCTTCTCAGAAAATGGCTTATTAAGGGAGGTCTGGGTGGCTCAGTTAGTTATGTGTCTGACTTGGGCTCAGGTCATGGTCTCACAGTTCGTGAGTTCGAGCCCCACGTCGGGCTCCATGCTGCCAGCTCGGAGCCTGGGGCCTGCTTCACATTCTGTGTCTCCTCTCTCTCTGTTCCTCCCCCACCCATGCGCTCTCTCTCAAAATAAAGAAATAAACATTTAAAAAAAAGAGTGTGGGTTACAGAGCATTAGTCATATTTTTAAAAAAGAAAGAAAGAAAATGGGTTATTAGTTGTTATCAGAAAATTTTTCTCCACTAGAGAACTTCCTGTGTTTTATGTGGGAAATTTATTAAATGTGAATTTGAAAAAGGAGAGGTGCAATCTAAACCCTCATCAGATAATGAATGAAGGTCAAGGATAAATGAAGGAAATGGAGTGATATACCACCTTCCACTCTCCTCAGGCCTGTATGAATGTGAGCAGGAGATTCTGACCAAAAGGGTGAGAGGAAAAGGAGGGAGACGGTGCCTCTCAGGGTGAGGAGGCTTGGCTGAAGATTTGATTTGGGTGAGCTACTCACATTTCTTCTCACCAATAAACCCCGTGTGCTTCTGCCCTAAGCCCCTGGTAAATTGATTAAGCAAGACCATTAGATTGAAGTGACTTTAGTGCCTTAGTAACCTGCATAAGCAAACCAAAATCTAAGCTTGTAATGCCTAAAGTTTACGAAATTAAAACCTAAGAACAACAAATGACCATTAGCCAACTAGGCTTTCTCAAATAATGCAACCACTAAACCTATAGCCAATCAATTTTCTGGTCTTGCTCCTGTCTTCTCTATAAAATCCTTTCTCTTATTTCCTGTTGGTGGAGTTGCTCCTAAGCAGTTCTGATGTGGCCCTGGCCAATTTGAGTCAATTTTTGCTCAAATAAACTCTTTTTTTTTTTTTTTAATGTTTATTTATTTTTGAGAGAGAGAGAGAGAGAGT